AAGCCTGTTATTTGGCGGACTACTCCAAGAAGGACACTATGTAGATAGTCTGGAACAAAACTTTCTGCCATGTCAAAACACTGTAATGTGGTCAAAAGACTTGGTCCTTTAACACCATTGACTGGGTTATTTACCGAGGCCAGTTCTGCATCATGGATCATGCCCTTGTGTGTTCTCAGACTAGCAATGGGTACTGAAAGTGGGTAGACCCTGGTAAACCCATCACCCTTTTCCACTCTCTCTCCAGAATGAGTACAGAAATTACAGCCATGTCCCCCATTGAACTGGTTGATATTTTGCACTGGAGCCCTTGCAACAGAGTCAACTGTGCATAGAATGGCAGCAACTTTGGAACATTCATAAGTTTTTGTTTTAGTGTTGTACCACAAAACACCTGCAGATTCTAAAGATCTGCACTCTTCGATGAATGGTTTTAGAAAACTTTCCATTTTTGGCTTGGTTTGCCCAAACCAGAGTGCAGGCACCAACACAAAGTTTTTCCGTTCAGACAGAGCTACCTCGTTTATGGTACACTGAATTGGCCACATTGAATAACTTGAAGAGTGAAACACTGGGACACCATCTGTATTACATGTCAAAGATATATTGCTCTCGTCTGTCAGCATTGGAATTCTCTTATACAGTGCACCATCACTGACATCTTGAATGCAATCAGAATTGTTTTTCTGTGATAGTTTGTCATGAAGGTTGTGATTTTCAAAAAGATTTTTAATTTCATCTCTCAAGGGGGTGTACATCAAATAATAACCTTTACTCAGATGTTCTGATACTTTGCATTCTGTATCACACATTGGACATAGTACGCTCTCTACATCTAGTGTGCCAATGTAAGCTCCACAGTCAGGATTCAGACAATAATGATGCAACTGCCAGCTGGTTGTGTCAAAAGCACGTTTGAACAGGTAGTTGGTGTAGGGCAAACTATTTTCAGGGAGAAGCATATGCAGCAGATGCTGTAAATCTTCACTTCCTGCCTTGGTCACATGGTGGCGTAGCATGTAGCCCAGAAGTGCAGTCAGACTTTCACCTTTTGAAAGTTTGGCTCCAGGGTACAAAGGCTGGTCTCCATCATGGATACAAGTGGTGGTTGGGATATTTCCATTCTCGGGATGGGTTGAACTGCTATGCTAAAGATGAAAAATGAGAAGTAAATAAATGTATGTATGATCATTTTAAGTCATTTTACATTCCATTTGTCCACATTACTCATGCACAACTTTCACAAAACCAGAAAACGGTTGTGGATCATCTAGGTAAGGACACATATTAAGGATCAAGTCTATGTAAACCTCTGTATGTGAATTGAAATACAGCGATGTACTGTAAAACAGTCAAATTTACTAAACGATAGAAGTTAATATCACTCAGTTAATCATCATATTAAGTTCATCACACTTAGTAGAAAAATAGTTATGTGAACACAATTGATCAGGAGAATAAATGTTAAAATGAATTTTTTTTAATTTGTTTTTGCACAAAATGAAATCTTAGGTTTTTACTTTTCTACTATGCTGCAGTTTAAAAGGGTATCTGTCTGTGTTTTGGTGAAGACTAGAGCCTATAAATCAAGGATGAGCCAATAAAAGATGCTAAATGCTGCATGTTGTTTTATTTAAAAGCAGTAAATGTGTAGTTGCTGATGCAGTGATAAGCTAATTTCTAATAACACTAGCACATGCTCTGTTGCTAGTAAAGGTGCACTATTGCTGCTTCTGAAATCTAATACTTCCCTACTATGTAACGAGCGAAAAACAGTATGCCAGCAGTCTGAATGCATATAAAAAATAAAATAAAAAAATAAATAAAATAAAAAACAGTAGGCCATAAGTCCCAGGATGACCTACTACTTCCGGCGAGAATCTGAAGTGTGCATTTGATAGACACTTTACTATTCCATGAAGCCATGGGAGAGAGTATTTGTGAATGGAGGTGAAGGGGTGTGCAACTGTTGCTGATTAGTCATATGATAATGACAACATGACAGATGTAGTATGTCTGGATTACATGCAGCATACACACTTATAAAACATATTGTTTTTAACTTTGCAAATTAAATTCAAATTTAAATATAGTACCTACTCTGAGAATATGTGATTTCAGACAAACTGTATGTACAGTAACTTGGCGCTAACATCCCATAAAGTGTATCCAGGGGAAGGTTGATTTAACTTGACTTTAACTTACTGATGAACAACCAGTAAAACTTTCAAAAATTGTTTGGCGCAACTACTGAAGTTGTAACTCAAATGCTTTGCAGTTTTTTTTTTTAATTTTCTTATTTATTTTTTTATTTTTTTTGTTTACTCAACTTTTTATTTATCTGTGTTACTGTAAACACATATTGATAAAGGATGACTTCATCATAAAAAGTAAAGCTTAAAAAAATGTTTAATTTAGACACTGTCCAAAATGATCAGAATATGTACATTATAGCACATTTGCATAAGTAAACATAATTTATTAGACTATGCCCTGTAATAGTTACCTCTTCATTGTTCAACCATTGTGTGTTTTTCTCTTCATCTTCTATATCACCACCTGATATGTCATCTGGCTGAAGAAAAATTTAAATGAAAAATATTACATTTCTTACAATAGTAAACTGTAAATGGATTGTTAACACTTTACAATAAGGTCTCATTTGTTAACATTAATGTGTTAACTGACATGAACTAACCATGAGCAATATTTGTAACAGTATTTATTAATCTATGTTAGGCATACTGTTGGTTTATACAAATACAGCTGTTCATTGCTGTTCACATTTGCTAATGGTAATAAAACATTTGATTTTAATAATGTATAAGTAAATGTTGAAGGCAAGGCAAGACAAATTTATTTATATAGCACATTTCATACACAATGTAAATTCAAAGACAATCAATATAAATAAAAACAGTTAAGAGTAAAAATAAAATAAAGTAATAACCTATCTGAGATGGAATAGATTGAAATTAATTTTAATATTAATAAATGCTGTAGAAGTATATTGCATTCTTAGTTCATGTTAACTAAACTGTATTACAAAGTGCTGCAATGGATTGACTGCATGGATAGCCTCAAATTAAAATGAAATAAATAATAATAATATTACAATAAAGAAATCTGTAAAATCGAGAGAAAACGAAATTTTTTTTTAATACCTCAGTGAATTGCCTAGCTGCCTCTTCTCTGCAGAACAGTTGTGTGTCTTCTTCAGAGTCAGCACCAACTTGGTCCTCTGTGTGTGTCTAAAGAAAAACAAATGACCCGCCAGCTTTATAGCTAGTTTCTCCTACTCTGTGTATTGCAAAATGTGTATTATTATATTATTATTATAAAATTATAATAATTTTATTATTAATAATAATAATTAAAAAGAATATATTAGTAGAACTGAATTACAGGTTATATTAGCTGATACTTGAATTTTATTGATTTTACCTGAGATGAAGTAACATTACTTTCGCTGGTATTTCTCCTTACACTTGTGTTCCGGGGGGGTTCTTCTTCATCCTTTTCCAGAAATATTTTGTACTTGTTTCTTCTGGGATGTTTTCTGTTTGGAATAGAGTCATCTTCTAAAAAAGATTTGTATTTTTTTCGCCTTTTGGACATTTCACCCGCATAGATCAAGAGCGCGAGATCTTCTTTCGCGCCAACGTGATCGTTGCCCTGACAACGAGTCTCGAGAGCAGCTGATCCTTGATGAGCAAACTGTCAGTCAGCGTCATCGTTAGTTTATGATGGAAATAAAATACGTTTTGGTAGATTTTTTCACAGACAACACCGTTCACATATGTGAACTCTCAAAACTAAAACACAAAGATATGACCAAACTACACCCCAATGTCATTCACAACCCAGACAGCAAACTGACATTGAATCAATGTGGAAACGACGTCTCTCATGACATTGAAACAACGTTGATTTGCTCATCGAATTAACGTTGAACCAACGTCAGACGCGGCATTCTTCAAAGCTAAATGAAATCGAAAATTGGTTTGCTTTCATAACGTTGAAACAACGCGTTGATTTCAAGTTGATTTTCCGTTAGTTTTGAAAGAATGATGCATCTGACGTTGGTTCAACGTTAATTCGATGAGCAAAACAATGTCAGATCAACGTTGTTTCGATGTCATATTTCCACGTTGATTCAATGTCAGTTTGCTATCTGGGAAGTGGGACAAACGAGAGGAAGCATATGTTTTCTGGAAGAAAACTTCGTCAGCCGAGCTGCAGTGTTGGCCTTGTCGAGTCATCCAGTTTAGCGGTGAGTAGGCTGTATGTCCTCATATCTTTAGTTAGTTAATTTAAAGAGATGTACAAACACATTTATTGAAATTTTATCCAAACACAGTTAAGAAAATAGGGGAAAATGCTGCTTCTGTACTGATTTGTACTTTTTTTTTTTTTTCATGGATCATGCAGTTCTCCTCAAAGACTCTAAAAGAATCAATGAACGGTCATCAATGATAGATATCCATAATCAAATCACAGATTTCCATCCGATTCACGCTCAGAGGACCACACTCTCACTCATCACCGTGGTTAGGGAGACTCAACACTTTAGAAAAACACTTCCAAGTTAAAAACTATAGAAATGATCCATGAAAGTATAGTCAAATCAAATCAGACTATACTGATTTGTACTTTGTAGCGCGCAACCAGGTGGCGTGACGTGAGCTGCTGATTCTGATGCTGCACGAGCACAGAGATGTTTGATCATGAAGTCAATTTTGTTCAATTCAATTCACTGTAATCTATATGTTTTTTTGTAATACAATTACCAGAAGTAAACTAACCATTCTTTGCATTGTACTAATTTCAAATATGGTGAGAAATAAAGTGAGACAGAGTCAGACTCATTAATCGCAGGATATCATTAAAATCTCATTCCAACCAGTTACAACCCTTTGTGTATAGACAAATGTAATATGCTGTCATTGAAGCTCATCAATTAAAATACAAGTGAAAACCTATGACATTTAATAATGGAATAAACAAAACTGTACTGAATGTATTGTGTATGTTGTTTGTTTCTAGGAGAGCGTCAGCCCCTAATTGACTTGAGGAAAAAAATTGAAAAGGGCTGTGCCTTTGACAGTATACCGCTCTTTGCTACAGAGGAAGCATTAGGAAAGGGCAGAAGAGAGAAAGTGAAAAGGCCCCCAACAGATGTTGGCGAGACTTCATTTCTGGACCTGGTAAATGCAAAGCTCACTCACAATTTGTTACTAATATCATCCTGATTTTAGATCGTATTTAAATGAGATCAAGTAATCCAGTTACATGTAGGCCTGTACTAGTGTTAATTTCGTTAACGAAAACTAAACGAAAATATTTTCGTCAACGCACATTTTTCACCGAACGAAAACTAGACGAGACGAGACTAAAATCCCCACTAATAAACAATAACTGGGACTAAATCAGAAATAATTTTCGTAGACTAATAAAGACGAGACGAAAATGCAGTTCGGTAAATAAAGACTGGGCTAAAATCTATGGACATTTTAGTTCACGAACAAAGACGAGACGAAAATTACATATTATTATATGATATGGTTTTGTCAAATCCTGTCTCCTTCTCCGCCTCCTCCGCGTCAGCTCTTCCGCCACACACACCCACGTTCAAACCTGGAGCGGGCGGGCACAGTCAGAGTAGCCGACACACAACACACATGGAGCAGACAGGAGCTGGATTCACGGTGAGGCGGCGGCGACAGGTTAAAAGTAAAACATGCTTTGCACGGGGCTCGGGAGAAAGAAGAGACGTGATATATGGACACATTTTGTTACAATGATAAACTAACTAATGATGGCTAACTTTCATAGCATTTAGTATCCAGGCTGGCTATGTTGCGTTAGCTTCTTAGCACGTAGCGACCGTAGCCACTTGTTGATAGAATTGTATGTGAAGTTAAATTTATGCTAACTTAGATATGTTATACTGGCCGGGCAACTATAGTTTCAGTTAAATTTTATTAAAGCAGACAGACGCTTTAAAAAGATTAGTTAAAAAGATTTCATACGTTCTAGCAATCTATGCCTTGTTTCACCTTAAATACTGTACCTTTATACCATGTGAACTAGCTGGCAGGAAAGCACTTTTGTTGTATCAGTTGGAGGTTTTTTTTTTTTCACAACATTGACCTCAAATCTATTTATTTTATTATTCTATGTGAACTAGCTTTAAACAGCCAGCACTTGTGTTAAGTTCATAATACACTTTATTTTATTTATTTGTTTCCTTTGTCAGGTGTATTTTATTTGTTTTAATGCAAGCATTTGTGTTTGTGTCTTTGAACCTTAACAATGTTCAAAATAAATATGAAAATATTGTCAGTACATCTTCCATGTCTGCATGTGTTCCTTAAAATTGTGTTTTTTTATCAAAAAGATGAGAGAAAATGTTGAAATGTGAAATAATTTTAGGAAATGTTAAATATTATCTGCTGACAAAAAAGTAAAAGGTTAAAATGATGTCCTGACTAAAACTAGACTAAAATGTTGACAGTTTTTTTTGACTAAAACTAAACGAATAAAATTATGTTTTCTTGGACTAAAATAAAGACTAAAATGCTCGACTTATAGTCGACTAAAACTAGACTAAATAAAAATGGGATGATGTCGACTAAATGTGATAAAAACTAATAAGCGATGCTGAAACTGGACTAAAACTGAAACTAAATTTAAAAATGGCTGGTAAAATTAACACTAGCCTGTACATGTACTAAATTGTTTCAGATCAGTTTTTTTTATTTCCATAGCACTGTACACAAGCATTTATGTTAAATAGTTTAATTGACATTAATGTGCAGAAAAGGACATTTCTCTGGAATACTTTTTTATTGTGATTGCTATTTTCAGGAAAATGCACCGGTAACAAACAAAAAAAAGAAGACCAAAAATATCATTCAACAGAAGATAATGGCTGCAGTGAAACAAAGCTGCACTCAAATACCGGTGAGCAGGATGTTGGCTTTAATGAACTTTTTTAGGTTAACAGGTTGCACATAACTGGGCTACGTTAAACAAAATAAATTGTTCATGTAACTTCAACACACTCAAACAATATGTTGGCTTTAACCTTTTTATGTCAACAGGTTCTGATATGTTGGCTTTAATTAACTTTTTATGTCAACAGGTCAGGATGCACATAACTGGGTTACGTTAAACAAACAATTTGTTCTTGTAACATAATGGAGTTAAGTAATTTTTTAAACGGCCCAATTAAACTCTGAGCTGAGTGTTAAATGAACACTAAAGCAGTTAAAGTTAATGAGATTATTAAGTGAATAATTGAGTGATGATTGAGCATTATTGAAGACACCTGATGTAAACAAGCAGATTATCGTTACGGCTAAAATACATAACTGATATTGTACTTCAGGAACCAAGAACCTCTGTGGGAGTGCTGGAGGAATCAAGTGGACCAAGTCCTTTGTCTCCTCAACCATGTAAGAGTTCAGACATGGCTGAAAAGATAGAGGAGTTAAAAAATGAAATTAAAGAGCTAAAGGAAGATTTAAAATATGAGCGGCGCTTCAGGATAAAAGCAGAGAGAGAGCTGAGGGAGTCGAAAGGTAATGAAATCTAGCTATAGGGGGAGAGTGGGGTAAAGTGAGACATTTTTTACATTTGCTCTCCTCTAAGTGAGCTAAAATGATATATCAGTAAGATTTATACATTTCCCATTAATTCAGGATGTTTTCTACCAATGGAAATTATCTGAATGTATTCAGGACGAAGGGCAGTGAAAATATGATTGTTTTTAAAACTGAGACAGACCAGAGAAATCAAGGGGGTAAAGTGAACCAGCTGGGGGTAAACTGATCCACTTACGTTTTATCAGAGCCCTAGCTCCCTGGAAAGTGGACGACTGGTATCAGTCAGGAGTGAGTATGGGTGTGTTTAAAAGGAGAAAAGTGATCTTGACAAATACATCCAGCCTAGGTTGTAGGGCCCTTTACGAGGGCAGGCTCGTCTCATAGTAAAGCCTGGAGAAACGCCTACATATCAACTGTCTAGAGATGAGATCAGTCGCTCTATCGCTGAAAGCCTTTCTCTCGGACTTGAAAGGCCACCATATCCTGGTCCGGACAGACAGCATGGCAGTGGTGTCCTATATAAATCGCCAGGGCATTCTCAGGTCAAGCAACCTGCACGCCATGGCCAAAAAACGAATTTTATGGGCTCAGCACAACCTGTGCTCCCTAAGGGCGGCGCATGTGCCATGCATCCTGAACCAGGGTGCGGATATGTTATCCAGAGACAATGTTCCCCCAGGAGCATGGTCTCTTCACCCACAGACGGTTCAGCTAATATAGAGCATCTTCGGCGAGGAAGAGCAGGGGTGTGCTTGCCCATGATTGGCCGAGCCGTCCGCTGAATGCATTCCTTCCAGTCACGATGTTACCACAGGTCATCGAATGGATCAGGGAGAGCAAGTGTGTAGTGCTACTAATAACCCCTCTCTAGAAGACCCAGTTATGGTTCTCCATGCTGGTACAGCTGCGGTGGTGCTGAGGAGAGATCTCCTCATGCAGGCAAACCGATTAATTTGCCATCCCCATGAGGCAAGAGCGCTGTCAACTAGACGCCTCTACGCTCAGAAATGGGTGGTAATTTCTGGCTGGTGCGCTGCACGGAGCCTGGACCCCTATTTGTACGAAGTATCGAGTATACTCGCCTTCTTACAAGGGAGTATGGACGTGGGTCGTACCCCTTCCACATTCAAAATGTATGTGGCTTTGATCAGGGGATCGCTTTAGTCGACTTAACCTGACTACCTTTGGCTGAACTGGCCAATATAAAGGCTTAGGCCACACCCATTCTGGATGGCTCTGATATGCCAAGGCACGAAGCAGCCTGATTGGTTCTTTCGTCTGAGCCGCCTCTCCACAGGTTCATGCAAGTTGCCACAGCACATCCAATGTCCGCACTAGCCGTTCATCTGTGTCTGCTACAGCTGCTCAGCGTTTGAAAGATTTTGGCTTCAATATTCCACATTTTTAAAACAGACCTCCTCTTCTCAATATCTTGTCAGGCTTGTCAATAATTCTATCTCTTGCAGCTGCTCTTATAGACATATTTCCTTCCTTGACCTCAGCGGCTGCACTCTCCATCTCCTCAAGGGGTGTTTTGCCCCAGGTTGTCTTCCTGGTGTATTATCTTGGCATGATGACTTTTCTACAATGTCAATGACATTAAAAAATAAAACATATGTAATGTAATATTACATTAAAATATTTTAAGACTAAACTTAACTTGTGCCTCATGTCTCACTTTACCCCATAGTATTTGTCTCACTTTACCCCACTGCCACATTTTAGCAAAAAACGATCTCTCTTAGTAATTCAGGATACTCTTCAGCTATCATCATAACATGGATTCATATGTTAACTTACCTCTTCTGAAAACGGTTGGGATGCTAACGGACTTTTTCGAAGACACAAAACCATTTCTATAAGGTAAATATTCAACAGAAACGTATCAATTACACGTAAGAAATGTGTCATTAACGTTTGTATGTATTATTTGTGTGATTTTGTTAACTTAACTTACCTGAAAGCAGTGAAAACAGCGAGAGACGCTAGTTTTGCTGTGTGCCAGTTGACGACGTTTTCTGTTTCCATCTGCTCGCGCAACGCGCGCGCTCCTGTCTTTGAATGCGACTCGAATGTTTACGCGCACGCGCATCAAAACACAAGGCACGCAAGCAGCATTTAAATCTACATCTAGAATTATAACATATAACTTAATTTATTAACAAAAAATAATTATATAACAAAAATAATGAATTAAATAATTAGAGAAATAATGTTTCTTCTATAGGCCTATTAGAAAAATAAATATATAAATAATACTAAAAGAAATGCCTCTAGCTCTCACAAACTTATAAAAACGAATTAACAAAATATTATTTAAATCTTTAGTGTTCTTCCTCTTTATCCTATTTTTCTTCCTCATCCTCAATTGTTTGTCCATCTAAATTTTGCAGTAGAGCAGTTTTTTAAAAACCATAGACATGTTTCATGCACTTTATAAAAATAAATAAATAAATAAATAAATAAATAAAAACAGCCAGGACGGCCAGGACCAGACGTGGAAAACAGGACATGTCGGGAAAACATTGTTGGTCACCCTACCAAAGTCATGACCAATGCAGTCTTTTTAAAAAAAAAAAAAAATTAAACTTACTCCAGTAACTTGAGCGCTTCGCACATCCATTTTAAATAAATAAAATAGGAGTCCATTTCGTTCAAATTTACAAATGCACATACATTTACGCTAATAATCTAAAGTTCATACAATCGGCATGCCGACGGTGTGCCGCCGGAGGACCAACCGCGGCAAACCGCTGGTGGCGTGCCACCCAAAAAAAGCTGGCAGACCGACCGCATTTTCATATTGGTCGGCTTGCCGAAGTTGTGCCGCCGTAGGTCCGACCGTGTCAAGCCGCTGACTTCGTGCCACCCAAAAAACGCTGGCGGTCCGCCAGGTCATTGTTAGCTGGGACATATTGTTATAAAACAATATTGATGTTATAAAATGAATATATAAATGCGATTTAACACGTAATAAATGCGTGTTTCCTCCTCGTATGTCTTGCGACTCGAGTCAAAGAAAATGGCGTATGTGAAGAAAGTTTCAACTCGTTTCGGTCCCGCCCAGCGCGTAAATGTCCCGGATGTGAGTAACACTCTCGGTGTTCTCAAAGCATTCTCTGGTGTAATTTATATTTAACTCCACATATTTTCACCAGCGAGAGTGTGGTTTACACTAGCAGTGTTGAATCCCTTGAAATTCAACACCAGAAAATTAACACTTTACTCTAAAAGTCCTTAACACCAGGATTTCAACACTGGAGATTTTACTGTGTATACTGCTAGGTTCCCAATTAGCTTATAGTATTTATGCTTGAAATAAACCATTAAAGGATTAGTTCACTTTTGAAAAAACTTTTGCTGATAATTTCCTCACCCCCATGTCATCCAAGATGTCCATGTCTTCCTCAGTCGAAAAGAAATTTAGGTTTTTGATGAAAACATTCCAGGATTTTTCTCCATATAATGGACTTCAATGGGAACCGGATGGTTCAAGGTCCAAAAGACAGTTAATAACTGTTTCAGATGCAGCTTCAAATGTCTTTAAACGATATCAGACGATGAATAAGGGTCTTATCATGCGAAACGATCGGTTATTTCAAAGCTTATTCCAAAAATGTAACTTTTCTAAGGACAAATGCTAGCCTTGCTCTATTCTGTGAGGCGCGTTTGCAACGTCACGTAATACGTAATTACATTCAAAAGGTCACGGGCGACGTAGCCGAAAGTAGTGTTTACAGTCAGTGTTTACAAGTTGTACGCATAGGTTGAACGTGCAAACTAGCTCAAACACCGTTTACAAAAAAAGGAATTAAAAGGAAAAACAACGATGTCGGACGATTTTGATTCTGTACTTCCGGCTACGTCGCCCGTGACCTTTTGAACGTAATTACGTATTACATGACGTTACAAACGCGCCTCAGAGAATATAGCAAGGCTAGCATTTGTCCTTAGAAAAGTTAAATTTTTGGAATTAGTTTTGAAATAACCGATCGTTTCGCATGATAAGACCCTTATTCATCGTCTGGTGTCGTTTAAAGACATTTGAAGCTGCATCTGAAACTGTTATTAACACTATCTTTTGGACCTTGAACCATCCGGTTCCCATTGAAGTCCATTATATGGAGAAAAATCCTGGAATGTTTTCATCAAAAACCTAAATTTCTTTTCGACTGAGGAAAGAAAGACATGGACATCTTGGATGACATGGGGGTGAGTAAATTATCAGCAAAAGTTTTTTCAAAAGTGAACTAATCCTTTAACTGTACTTTAAGCATGCAGACTTGATGTTAACTTGCATGTTAACTTGCATGTGAAAATTATTTAATAAGGTTAAAAGAGTAAACACAAGTACACTTAAACTTTCAGTATTCAGAAAGAATACTTTTCTTTAGTATATCTTGATCAAATGATTAAAGGCTCTCAAAGCGATCCTGGGTGTTGACGTTCGAATATTTTCAAACAAATCGGAGCTAGACCCTCCCTCCTCCGCAACTCATCTCCTCTCCTCCCCCTCCCTTCCGTGATTCCTGAAATAATTGTGAACGTGCATAGTTCTAGCTAATTATATCCTTGTTTGGGTTTGGCGAACATAAGCGTCAATTTAGAAGAAAAAAAACTATTTAACGGTACCCACCTGTCAAGCAAAAACAGAGCAACCTGACGTCGGACTGTAAGCCCTTCTGCCGCCGGAGTTCTCGCCATCATTCAAAAGCTTTGCTACCGATGTAAATTCGGAACTTCGCACGTTCTTTATCCGACTCATTCTTCTTTTTAATTTGTTCCTCAGAACGACGTCTCTTTGGTCGTGTGTCGGTAATTTTTCAAACTTCCCTCTGATGCTTCGCTGCTCTCCTTCACACACACACACCCTTCATGTGCACGCGCACTAACCCCCCAGACCCACCCTCAAATACTTCTTGCCAGTGATTGGCTGGAACACTGTTTGTTAGGTTTCGTGGTCCGGGTAAGACATGATTGTTTTTGTTGCTGTTTGTGGAGCCTGTGGTGTCTACAGAGACCGCGTTTTTTTACAGTGTGTTTAGGGGACAGGCAGCTAGCCGATAGTGAGGAGACGTTTGATGTATGTGACAAAAAATGTTTTGGCCCAGCATCGCTTAGAGAACCTTTAAGTATACTTAGACTTTTCTGTATACTTGTCAGTATACGCCAAGTATACTAAAGTATAATTTTGTTAAGTATATATCTGAAAAGTATATTGAAAGTAAACTGAAAGCACACTCTCTTATTTTTAGTTTAAAACAAGTATTCTAATAGCACACTTGAATAAACTTATTTTTCGTAAGGGTTGCTCTCCCGCAGCACCTGAAGCTCCCCCAAGGTCACCGACTTCTGCAACGCCCTCACCGCCCTCAACCTCGAGCTGGTCTGAAACGTAGAAAAACACACAATGGCATTCGGTACCTGGCGACCTTGCCGCAGAGTAAGCAGGCCAAGTCCAATCAGCTTTACTCTGCTGCGGGCATATCTCATCAATATGCCCCTCTGCTCAAGGTTGAGCATGGCGTGGGCGTCCCTCAGGTGCTCGTTGATGTAAGCCACCCGAGCTGGGCACACAGGGCATTGAACATCTGTGAGAAAAAAACGTGCCAAAAAAGTCAAAACACACACACACACACTCACACAGCTTATGACACAAAACTGATGTGTAACAAACCATTTGTAACATTTTGCCATGGCCGACATGTCAACTTACTTTCTCTTAAACGTTTCAGCATCTTTAAAGGATGAAAAAAAAACACACTTTAATCAGCTAAAATCATTAAACACAATTCAATCAATAAAAATGACAGCCCTTCAGGAACTTGGCCTTAAATAATTTCCCTGGACTGTTTAGTTTCTTTTTCGGGCCTAAATTGATCAGTCATACACTGGTAACAAGGCACAACACAGTCATGTACAGTACAATATCATGGCACAAAGCACTTTAAAGTACAGTTTAAAATGATTCACGAGTGCATAAGCTAAAATATCAGAGAGCAGGTTAGAGACACTCACCATGCGGCCGAAAATCAGCAAATGTGATCATTTCAGTGAAATGGTGGACATTTGACACCGTCCTCTAACCAATCAGCACCCTTGTTTATCGGCACAACGACTGATAAACAATCTTCAGTCCTGACAAATGTGTACAGCAGAGCTTA